CTTTCTGGGAATTATACAGCGGTTCGGAATGAGACAGGGGGTGGCCTCGGGCGATGCCCACTCCAGTGTGAGAGCCGGCACCAGAGGAGACTTCGCATCATTTCCAACTCTACGTTTTTGTCGCTAAATTGAACAACTTTTTTGTGGGTTTCCCTACAAGTGACAAGATTTTGTCACAGCTACCCACGACGAGTTGAACAAGGAACCGCAACACCTACGTCTCGATGCTTGTGCACACCAATGGTGACGCAGTTTAGCAAATAATCTGTTTGATTTTGAGGGATACATTTTGAGACATTCTTCGATTAGAACGTTATGCAGATGCATGAGCGATTCCATGTGTATATTGATTAATATACTGCGTTTAATACTTGGTGAATTCTCTCGAGACGGTCTATCTGGTGACATCTAGTGCCTCTTTGAGGTTCGTTAGTAAAATTTCTGCTTTGAACAGTTGGCAACACTGGGCGAGAATCTGGTTTTTGGTACCGCAGCCAGGAAGTCATGGTTCTTTGGTGTTTTCATTTGAAGAAAAATAAAAACATCTTGATTTCACAAACTTGAAATCAGAGTTGATATCTGGCAGCCACATGGTGATTGCAATGTATCTGGCCCTCCCTGCCTCCTGGCTTGGAAATAACGACTGTTTGTTTTCCCGCAGTATGGTACAGTGCCCCCCGGTAAAATACACGCAGTTATTATCCATTGAAAGCCCATTCGGAAAAGAAAAAAAAATCTATTTTGCAAGTGAATGTTTTGCAAAAACTGTAAGGACAATGTAACTTTTTTTAATCAAAAATGACAAACGTGGTTATCTCATAATATGCTATATGTTCTGGTGGGGAAACCACTGATGATATGATACACATACACAATTGGTTTTCCTTGAAAGGAATGCGTGCATGAAAAGGTTTTGGTTTAAAAATCAGTAGTCTGAAACCGCACGCCAGGGATGGAAAAGGAATGCCTGATAAAATGCAAGGTTGCAACTACACTGGTCTAAAGTGCACATAAGGCATTTAAATAAATTACTCCAATAATGATTTTAGAATTCTATGAACCCTCTTGTTCCCTACAATTATGTCTACATAAGCAGCGGCGAAAATGTTTAAGAGCAGAACTTTAAATCAACCACACGGACTCGTCCTCATCATAGTATCGTTCAAAACGATTCCCCTTCAGTGCAGTGCTCATATTTACGAAGATGATCTGATGAATATTATTCTGCATGCATGAAGCGGCCTCTCCCGTCGGTATGCACAGTGCAAACATGCTGCAGAAAAAAAGCCATGTGCACAAACGATGCATGCAAAAAGCATTGCATGTATGTGCATATATATACATACACACATCCGTCTAGCGACGTGCAGCATACAAACAGCAAGACGGCGGTGACGCCCCTGCACAGAAAGGGGGATAGAAAAATCCCTGAAGCAAGACATTCAGGAGTCTACCACATTGACAGCGGTGTCCACCAGTGGTGCAGTGTGGTTGGCATGGGTCCTGGTGCAGGGAATCAAATGGCCGCACCCCAGCACGCCCCAACATCTAATTTCCCACCCTCCAGCTCACATACCCCAGTGCAGTTGCACAGCCTGCACACTTGATTAGCGGCGATGTCACTGGTGTCAATCTTTCCAGCCGAGGACGACTGCACGCGTCGTTTTTCTAATTGCGATCGTTGTGGTGTCATTTGTGCATCGCAACGTGAAAATTCGGAGGGTTTAGTGCATCTCCCCCCCCCCACCACCTTAGTGGGCGTGAACAGTGCAGCAGCAAAGCTATGCCCTGTGAATTTAAACATTCCCTCTTTTGTTTTCAGTAGAATACAGGCATGTGTCTAAAGCAGGAGGGGTTTGTTTTTATAATAGGTTCACATTACCTGCTGCTGCGACCATATGGATCAGACACATACACAAGGGCAAATTGAAATGACACAAAAGATGAAAATGTGATTTGTACAGAACCATGCGGAGATGCACGCAGGCAATTTCACAGAGCGGTAGAAAGAGGTGCACATGGTCGACAGGACCCATGCAAATGAAAGACATCGCATTGACTGTTTAAGCACGTAAAGTGCGCTTGTCGCATGGAGGGTTGATGGCAGATGAAGAAGAGCGGTGACGGAATGGCAGCCAAAAGGAGAGAACACGATCAAAAGGATGCCCACAGCAAAGGTGGAGTTATGAGAGCAGCTGATGTGAAGGAGTGCGAGATGGAATCCACAAACGGGAGGTTCTAATTCTGCAATAGATAAATGGCAGGGCTGTTGACGACGACGTCGAAACTGAGGTTGTTATTTAGCAGTATTGCTTTGAAACATAATTATCGGCAATTCCACCGATGAAAAGCGTCTAAATGTGCGCCCCCCCCCCCCCCCCCGTACATTTTCGTTGAAATGTTGAGACGTTGCCCGCCGCGGTCATTCCCCCTCGTCGACCGCGGCGTGTTCTTTAGGCCACGTCGTACTAGGGCGGCCGCACCTCACGCTCTGCACTGCAGGCGGCAACACAAATATCATGGAGGGGAGGTGGGGTTGGGAGAGGTGCGCAGAATTTCAAGGAAAGGGAGTAGAGAGAGAGAGAGCACTACCACCGAGGGGGGTGGGGGGGGGTTGATCGTGAAGAATGGTGCGGTGAGAAATGTAATTAATAGTCCCATTTAGGACACTGGCCCTTCGCTCGCTGTGTGGCTGCATTCGCTGGGGCGCAGGAATGGTTTGGCACACACACGCGCACATCCCCCCCCCCCCCCCACCAACAGATTTGCGGCTGAACGCTGAGGTCGTAAAGATGTTATTCCGGTGGCCCAAAAACGGTGACGACAACAAGCCGGGCCCGATCTGCCCGTGCCCACCTCCTGTAGGATCAGACGCAATTATTGGGCGTTATTGTACACGGGGCGTACACGTTCGGGACGATTGAGGCCAGTGTCCTTGGCTCGCACTCCCTAACGGTTCCGAGGCATCTGCTATTGTCAAGGCGTATTTATTGACAGCGCAGTGGCTCGCCGCAGACGGATATGCACGGGGCTTAATTTTATCTGGAGCTGCGGCCCTGGAAAATATTTGATGGGAAATGAAGCCGTATGGATATGCTTGAAGGCTCACTGCTGATGATGATGGATGACATAATAGCCCAGAATGAGCCCAATTTCGTCAGATCTTTCAAGCTAAGCAGACTTGAACCTGAAGATTGTATGGATACTCGGGGCTGTGCTACATTTTGGTCAGCAGAGATTGGTCCGACAAAATCCATTGTTGTACCGTACATTACTGTAATCCTATGCTCCCAGGACTATGCTCCCCGCCTTCGCCAAGCCACACCAACCAGCGTGGTGAAGTATGGTCAAACAATCCCCATGGCCAACACGGCACGAGAGCGGCCTTCACGTAGCAGTCGATTGACGAAAGGACTAAAAAGTAAATGCCGCAGTCTTATTTTATTGCACAAACTGTATGTAATAAAACCCAAATGTTAGAAATGCCACTGTGCACCCATTGTGATTTGCCCTTAGCTGACATGAAGCTTGCTGGTGGGTAAGGCTGAGAGTGGTTAAGTGACCCGCTTCATGTTTGCAGATCACACGCAAACACATTTCCAACGCTGTCTGACACGTTTATCTCTGTGCCACGGCGAGTAAGTGTAACATCCTCGTCCTGACTGCACTCTGGATTTGTGTTGGCCATGCAAGCCGTTCGTCGCTGTCTTCGTTACTTCTACAAAATGCACTTGTGCGAGATTCATAGCCTGCTGCTGCTACTTTTCTGCTTGAGGCTTGGTATTTGTTGCGGTTTATGGGTGTTTATCCATTTTGTATTATATGTATCCGTTTTATTAGTGTTTTCTCAGCAGCTAAAGCAGCTAAAGCTGCCGAGAAAATATGCAAAAATTACTATCATTCCCACAAAGTACGGTAAAAACGGGAGAGAAAGAAAAAAAACGTTCCGCCATAATACAAAACGGATAAGTGCCCAGAAACAGCAACAAATACCAAGCCTGAAGCAGAAAAATGTGGTGTGTTTACGACCGTTTTAAGGTTTAGCTGTGGGAGGGGGTGAGGGTTGTGGGGGGGGGGAACTTGCGGTGTGACCGCCATTTCTTACCCAGTAGTTGACCCCAATAACGACCAAACTTCCTGATTGACATCTGGTCGGGAGTTAGTGACCGGTGGTGCTGAGCACAGATGAGGATCTGGCTCTCAGCGGCGACCGTTAACCGAGAGTCGCTCATGGGGGGAGGTGGAGCGTGGAGGGGGGTCTCAGTGTTTTCGCAGCAACAGGAGAGTGGAGGAAAATCATGCGCCCTGCAATGTCTTTACTGAAAGCTTGAATTGCGACGCTCGCACAAACATTTGCAACCGCGCTGGTTGCCGATAAAGGGCGCATTGTGCATGTACCAGAAGTGTGCACAATGCTTTCTCCATTCACGTGTTGGACTGCGGTGTAAATACATGTTGACATTGCAGAAACATACACTATATATACGTTGTACATTTGAACACGGCTGTCTCGTATTTGCTGTGTGTCACTTGACACTCTGAATATTGTTATTTTACGGTTACTATTTTAATTTTAATACCCTTGCAAACGAGGTATTCTGTCTCAACGGACCATCCAGGAGAAATATTTTAATTAAAAAAATACATGGAATACGAGAGACAAGGGTTAGGGTGTGTTTATAGCCTTCTCTGGTATCCACTGGTGCCTGCGCGCGCGTGTGATTCGGCAACGCTATCAGTGACTTCATCTTTGCTGTGTATTCGCCCCGAGCTTGTTGAGCATATGCAAAAAAGGTAAAGGCGCAGCCCTGCGATTGCTTGCCCACATCCCTCGCAGGCAGATGGGCCCTCCACTAGAGGGAGTTCTGGAGAGGCCTCTCCGTGGGATACTTTTGCCTCCTCGTCGAGGCTGATTTCGTACGCAGCCTCGCGTGCACTCTCGCCACGCCGGCCCGTCGCAAACGTTCGTGACGTTCGCCACGATTGCTTCCCGTTCGCAGAGTGGATTCAGGCGGTGCAAGCCCTGATGATTCTGTCGGTGATCTTCTGCTGCTGCGCATTCTTCGCCTTCGTCTGCCAACTGTTCACGCTGAAGAAGGGCGGCCGATTCTTCATTACCGGAGTGCTGCAGCTTCTGGCGTGTGAGTGAGACACGCGTGTGGCGGTTGCGACAAGACGCAGACGCCTTGATTCCGAGTGGTAATGTAATGGTGAATCTACATACGGTTTGTTCAACGTATGTAAAAAGGTCATTAGATTCAGAATCTTGATTTATCCTTGAGAAATCCGATGCGCTGCGAAGCTCCTTTTCACAGAGGCCCAGGAAGGGGGTGGGTCAGAAAGTTACAACAACAAAGGATACAAACAATGATTGGAGTGCAGAGTATAGGAAAGGAAAGAAAATCACAAGAAATAAATACTTAAAATAGATAAAGTATATAAGTTGCATCGTTAAAAACCGCCAGATTGCCCCCTCCATACAACTCAACTTTGCTCGCCAGGAAGCCTAAGAGCTGCGTGCTTAGGCCAAACAAGCGAGCTGCAGGTACAAGGAGGGACATTCTATTTGAGGATGTTTTAAGAACACTAGCCGTTAAAAAGCTTCGTCAAACCAAACTTTACCAAGTCTTTTTATAGTATTGACATTTTAGCGCGATGTTACGCGAGCTCATTATCGTTATTTTTGATGGGCCATTCTCGAACAAACCCCATGATTGATGTGGTATTGGGAGGCCTTCATCTATCAGTGGATTAACAAAGGGCTGTAAATTAGTATTTATTTAAGATCTGCCTCATCTTTGGGCTTGATGTGTATCTCCTTGTACAATTGTACTGAGCGCAGTACAGAACGCAGAGCATCGTTAGTAATGCCACATGCCACATGCCACCCATTCATAGATCGTACAGGCGTCCACAATGAGGTATGGGGTAGACGCAGCCCTGGACTCACGGTCAGCACGATGGACTTGCAATCCAGAGGTCGCCTCTGACCTCCCCGTGAGGAGTTTGAAACAATTAGCAAGTTAAATTTTGATTTAAAGGTTTCGTGACTGCAGGGATTCATATTCTTGGTTCTATCGGCAAAGTCACGTAGAAGGGAAATAATAAAATAATATAAAACAATCAAAATTCTCACGACGTTTCGACTGCAACACAAGCAACCATCATCAGGATTTCACACCTGATGATGATTGCTTGTGTGGCAGTCGAAACGTCGTGAGAATTTGTATTGTTTCATATTTACATTATTTTATTATTTCCCTTCTACGTGACTTTACCGAAAGAACCAAGAATAATTAGCAAGTTACTTCACCGCCCCCTCTACCTCCAGCCCCCCCCCCCCCCCCCACTACTGAAAGCAACCCTACACAGATAGATTAAATAATCCAATACTCTACTGCCTTACGCTTGGCACCGGTTACATATTTTAGCATGTGATACTTGTATAATAAATCGTAATCTCGTTTATTAGTGCCAAATTTAATTCATTACACATCAAAATCGTCAACAGTATGAGCAAATGCACTCCACTTGGACATGCTGCAGAAACAATCCAGCAAAAGCAAAAGACCACCCCGTGTTGTTTCAGGCAGCAATATAAAATGGATTTATCCCCGGTTAGCAATAAATTATTGACCAAAACATTCTAGAGATGCAAGATGAACGAATGTAGCCTGCAATGTTGTATGCGAACTTAAACGATGAAAGATACATATTGTAGGTGGTTTCTAGAAACCATGTGGCATTCGCTTAGGACATTACACATTTCCATTTCATGAGTCATTACTCATTGGAATATATGACCAAAAATGTAATATTGTCAATGAAGCTTCACAGATGTGCTTGCAAAAACTGTATAAAGGAAAATGTGGCTTGGTAGGACAATTAAGAGTTGAGAATATGTGGATAAGGGGTCTCAATATAATAATTTAAATAAACAGCCACATAAGCACAAATATTTGAGTGTTGGCAGAAGGCATTTCCACAGCATTGGCTATTTTCCTCCAAATATCTTTGGTGCTAAACACGTACCTTGGGTCCAAGGTACCACATGTAAAGTTAGACCTGATATTGTTTGTAGAATGAGAGCGAGCTTTACAAAAAATGGCAGCTGTATTCATCTTCATTTAGAGTGGCATGTATTGCTTTGGAGTTTACAAATGTTATACATACAATGGAAAGAGACCTCCCTGAGGCCTTAGACATTTAAAATTGCATTGGTTATCTTGTGAGTAGGAACATACATTTGAGATAAGATACATTATTGCTGCTTCAGCAGTTTTACACGATTTCATCAAATAAATGGTAAAAATGCTAGGTTGAGTTCGATTTATGAACATAATTAAACATTAACGGTTACCTTTTGCTAAATCCCTGTTATCGTACAATGATTGCCGAGTGAATAGCTGTCATTACAAAGGACATTCGAATAGGGGCCCTATTTTGTTTCAGCTCGAGGGCGATGTAAAACATTTGCTTACATTTGGTCTGCTCAGCACTTGCGCAAAGCCGTCGTATAGGCACACGCATTTCTTCAAATTTCCCTACCCCATTTTTCCATTGTGTGGGCAGAGGCATTCTTACATGGAGGCACCTTTGGGTACATGTCAGCAATTGTTGCCAATGCTAAGGAGGGGGCGAATGCGTTTGCCCACGTGGGCTCAAATAGGCTCACGAGTGCAGTCCAACGTGGAAAGCCCCTCACTTCCAAGTTTGATTTGTAACTTTTATTTCCAACGTGGTCTTCTCTGCAGCAGCAACTGACTTGCAGGAGGCTTGCCTTACCTTTTCTCTCTTTGGGGAAATATTTAGGCATCCTGTATAAATATTTTCACGCCTCTGTTTGCGTGATGAATCCCACCTCGCCGTCACGGCTAAGAAACGGAGCGTTCCAGGAGAAACTCGTAAATTCCCAGCAAACTGCTGAGTTCACACAGAGGACTTCGTCAAAATAAACTGACCACCAACCGCAAGGCCTTCCTTGAAGCTGCGGCAGTTACTTTTGACAAAAGTATAAAACCAGCGGTTGTAATTAATTGATAGTATTAATACACAGTTATTTGACGTTATAATTAAGCAATAAAGCAATATGTTGTTTATTCACGCTGTGGGAATATACGGGATATTTTTTTATGGTTAGGAACATTGTTTCCTGCTCCTTCCACATTCACACATTCGCATCGCATATTCATTGGATGCATTAATATGTGCACACGTGATTCTAAATTCAAGACTTTTCGTGGCAGCCACAAAAAAAGCCCCCACTCGTGCATGCTGGCTATGGAGGGCACAAGTGTTCCTGGCAGGTGAAAATATTATTCCGTTGTTTAAAATGTGAAGGAGAGGTGAGATGGCTCTTTGGTGCAAACATCTGTCTTTCCACGAGGAAGTAAAATGTGTCATTGTGGTAACAGTCCCTGAAAACATCGAATATTTTTGGGTCCGAGGAAAACCATATTTCCGTAAACAACCCTGCAATTAGCCAATTAGTCTGTAATTGAAGGGTGTAGTTACACAGAAACATTTATGACTATTTCCGCAACTTCTATGAACTTGTATTTCAACAACAAACACACCCACCCAACACGCCAACCCACCCACCTAACAAGTTTGTTTTCTGCATTCATATTTGCGTGATGAAAGTCCAGCGTAACGTGACGGTGCCGCGTTCGTGTGCCCACCCCCCCCCCCTGTCTCTCTTACAGGTGCCTGCGTTTTGACCGCTGCATCCATTTACGTCGGCTGGTTCCAGCCTCAGCACCTGCCCTCCAGTGGCCCCGGCTACTCCTATATTCTAGCGTGGGTCGCCTTTCCCCTCACTTTCCTCAGCGGCATCATATACTGCTTTTTGCGAAAGAAGGAATAGTTTGAGCGGGCATGTGTTCCCGGGTGGGGTCAAGGGTGCTTTTCCTGGTTGGAGTACTTTTTTGTTTTTTGTCATAATCACTGTACTCCCTTTGCAGACGATGCCACAAGTCCTCAAAAACTTACAATGCTTTCATTTTGTACATGTTTGTAAATAGACGAGTTCATTGTTCAAGAATGCAATAGGAGTCATAGACGTAACATTTGATTTTATGATTTCACGTGTTACTTGACCGAGGCATCATAAGAAGTGAAACTGCATAAATATTAATGTATTTTCATCTGTGAAGTATGCAATCGATAGTACTTAACAATAATGATAGTCAGCATGTTTTCTGCATAACATTTTTACATTTTAAATGTTTCATGTTCTAACATTGATTACATGATTCTTTTAAGAGCTAAAGTCTATGCCCAAAAGACTTCCATTGCTTGCTGAAATCTATGCAAAAAAATAACAGCATGTAAAGTTTTAAGAAGTATCTTCATTGTATTTGTTAATTTAAAATCACGAGATTATGATGGGGCATCCTTCGAGGACTAGTCTTCACGTAAAAAGCCTTGACTACAATGCTTACAGTACAGTGTATTAATAGTGGCAAAAAAACTGCTTTATGAAATATGCAAGGTATTATTATCAGGTATTTTCTTTATTTTAGCTTTCTATCAAATATAATATCTGGACAAAGTTACATTTTAAACATATTTAATTTAAGACACTAATACCATAATATTGTGCTTCAGAAAAGTAATGTGCAACATATTAATGATAATTCGCTATTTTTCTTCAGCAGTATTTTACATTTTTCCCCTAGATTATTTCAATTTATTCCCATGAGAAATAAAACTAGACTTCTTAAATTGAACTTTGTTTAGGTATGATGATTTTTTTAATGGGTAATGTATTGAATAGGGAAATCCAATGTGTTGATACGTAAGCTTAAGTTGAACCGTTTTGTGTTAGCGTTATGCGAACGCTAAAAGACAATAGTATCACAAAACATACAATGCACATTCTAAACAAAAATTTGCTTGCAATCGCGTTCATTAGGGTTTGCAAAAAATAACCAGATTCCTTGCACATTTCATTGCCAAGCGACTTCTGGGGTAGTGCAGAGAGGTCTGTCTTTGTCTCCCCTTTGCGTGATCATTTACTTTGCAATCAGAAAGTTGTTGGAAATGTTGACTTAAGTGCAAAATTACGAGAAATTACGTGAATGACCTGAGACCAAGCGGTACATCCACACGATCGTCTACTCGAGAATTTATGACTGCATTTTCTCAAAGTTGACAACACTGGGAAATGCATAAGTTTCGTATTTACACCCGGGTTGATGCCCTTAACGAAGTTGACCGTGTAAACTTATGAGTTGATTGGAAAAAAAACCCAATATTGTCCATTCCAAGCACATTCAGATTTCAATGGAGCAGAGGAAAGAGTGGACCGTGTGATACTTGTGATCTGTGTGATTACCAGAAACAGCAGTAACCACCCTGGGGCTCTCCACTAGTAACCTACCGTTACATCTGCGTTGCATATTGTAAACACTTGTACTGTAATGTTAACCCTCTTAGTGCTATTATTATTTTTAACAATATAGACGCGTCGAAGAAGAACACCCTACTAAATCCAGCGCACCTACGATCCGAGTAATATTTTGTACGTGTGTTGTGCGTTCACGCTATATATCAGGATTCTGTGGGGGCTTTTGGACGTGGCACGTTTAAATGTTGGTGGGCATCACACCAGCTACAAGTGTTTATCCAATCCAAGGCAGTCACGGAAGGAGGTGCAAGTCGTACGGTTGCAACTGTGACCGAATGCTATCCAAGGATCACTGGGTGGTCCTCAATGAGTAGCCAAAGAGACCAATCACATTTTATGGGATTTATTTTTTCAATAATGGACAATTGAAAGTCAATAATAATCCAATACACTGTACTCGAAATGCAGTCATGCCGTGTCTACGATGACATTCTGTTGCTCAGCCTGAAATAAAACTCTTGTTTTAAATATTTCAATGGTTGTGTTTTGTTTACCTTCGTGTACTGTACACAAATAAATACGGCCATTGATACGTCCACATGGCAGAAGTCACGCGTTGGCAGCAACAAATTCAGAAGAGGCCTGACTTTGCTGATGAGACCCTGCAAGTCAAACACGGTACATGGCTTGCCCGCTTGAAATCACGCTGATGAGATACATTTGTTCAAAAGGCCGAGGCATACAACATGTATTTTATGCAAAAAAACTGACTGCCCTATCAGACCATTATTTGTAAATCGTGATCCTCTTACTACAGCTTACAGTGAGTTTGATCTCAATGTACATCTCTTAAACGAGTCTTGTCACAGTGATGCAACGTTGGTCAGTTTTTAACCCTAACTCAAGGTTGTGCAGTGGTAACAATTTGCCTAGCGGCAAAAATAAAAACCCTGGGTTTGATTCCTGGCCCAGATGCCTTTCCGTGTGGATGGTGTATGTTCTCCCCTTATTTTACACCGGTTTCCTCCTGCTTCTCCGCTTTCCTCCCAAAGCTTTCAAAACACACACACAGTAACCAAACATCGCAATGCTGAATAATTACCTGCAGATTACTCGCTTGGGATTACACAGCAGCAGCAGCAACAACAACATCGCCCCCCTACTGCGAAAACGAGGAAGGACCCTCCTGAGAGCGGCTTGAGGCTCAGGTGAGGACCTCGTGTGTAAAGCAAGTGCAATAAATAAATAGTTATTAACCACCACGATATTTTAAATATACCGTAAAGTGTACCTACTGTACCTCATTAGCCTACTCCATCATTCTTACAGATTCCAGGAGCGCAAAGACATATACATTTCAACAATAGAGGGGTTTTTATGGGGGGAGGGCTAGATTGCATAAATATAAATGTGTCGTTAAACCCGCCACCACCCGACACAGCCAATTAGTGAGATTTGTCACGTAAACAGAACGTGCCAATAAGTTGCTAGTTCAGCAAACCGGTGTGTTGGAGAGCAAACCACACAACATTTACAATTCGAGTGCCGTGACGTTTCGCCGGTAATTAAAACAACCAGCATCATCAGGCGACAGCCACAGAGTTGTGGAGAAATCCTCCTGTTTCTGTCTTAAATCGACGGGGGATACATGTGATGTGGTCACTTGTGAAAGAATCAGGTGCGAAGGCCAGGGTGGGCGGGGAGGGTTAATGTATATGCATATAAATGATGTACATTTCAAATCCCTCTCGTACCGAACCTCATCATAGCTCGCCGAGCAGACTGCGAGAGAGAGGAGGAACACATTTTTCAAAGTCAAATCCACGTAAGGAACTCACGAATCCAGCACGCATACAACAGTGGTAACCACAGCACCCTTTGCTCACGTCTTACCCTGGAGATCCTGATCACAAGCTTGCCTCGCGCGTGGCAAAAGCTACAAAGCTAAGTGCAGGATAACAAAACGGTAGGCGTCTGACCCCCCACACCACAGCACCTTAAACAGTCAGGTAACGTAACTCTCCTTCACCCATCGCTGCTGCCACCAACACGATTTGGTGTGCTGAGCGGTAGAGCGAGCCTCTCGCTGCCGGAAGGTCTTCATAGTTCAAATCCTGATTGAGGGTTGACTCGGCCGATCATCCGCCCGGGGTGGATACAATGGTTTATCACTTCTGTGGGGAGTCAATAGTGGTTTTCCCTATGGACAGACCTGCCCCCGCCACCGCAATGTGGAATCTCCACGAGTGGCTGAGGGCTGTAAACTGAAGAGGAGCGCTAATTGACTCAATGTTCATTTGGGGAGGAACTCACTTTGCAAAATTCAGTGATTAAACTATTAAACAAAAATTTGTTTACCAGGTAAGGCTCGCTGAGCTATTTAGCTATTTTTAAGAAGCGACCTGGCCACACATGATAGCTCAACGAAGTGGCTTATCGCGCGCAAATGTATCGCAGCCAAATACTCTAAACGCGCGATGTCGATTCTAAACGTGGAGGGCACAACCGGAGGTCCCGGATAGAAATCCACACGGCCACTGGGAGAGAGAGAGAGGCATGCAAACTCCACATATACCAGCGACAGTCGGGATCTCCTGTATACCTGGCGAGGTAGTTAACATCTGCTAGCCACCGTGGCGCCCACTGCACGTGCACGTGTCTCACACAGTAGGCTGGAGTTCCCGGGAGACTCAAGTGCCCATTCCCCGTGTCGCACTCTCGCAACTGGGCGACTGCCAAAATAACTAGCGGGTGCCAACTTCACTCACTGATCTGGTCTTGTTTAAATACCTTTGGTTATCGTCTCACATTATTAGGCAACCCACCACTTTAGTAACCTCCAAAAGAGGGTTTGTGCGGAGGCCACAGTGTGGTTAGGGGCCGTCCATAAATGACGTCACGCACCTGGGGGGGAGGGGGGTCAGACATTTGTGACGATGTGTGACGAGGGGTGGGGGGTTGAGAAATGTGACGTCACATCAAATTGCGTAACTTTAAATTAATATAGGCAACACGTTCTACTTCATTAAATATACTTTTTAATCAATTTTTTCTCCTACAACATCAGAGTGCAGCGCCACATTAAATACGCACTACAATGACAATAGTTTAAAGCGATTTGAAACGTTTTTTTTTGGGGGGGGGGACGGGGGCAGAGCTTTGTGACGTCATATTTGAGGAGGGGGTCTGACTTTTTGTGACGCCGTGTGACGTAGGGGGTTGGGGTCAAAAATCGTCCAAAATCGCGTGACGTCATTTTGGACGGCCCCTTATCATCGATTCCCGGCCATGGGACATCAGTGGCGAGAGATGTCGGAGCCCGTCGTGCGTCTCCACCCCTTCAGCAAAGCCACACTGACCAGTCTGGTGAAGTATGGTTAAACTGACCAGTCTGGTGAAGTTATGGTCAAACTGACCAGTCTGGTGAAGTATGGTTAAACTGACCAGTCTGGTGAAGTATGGTTAAACTGACCAGTCTGGTGAAGTATGGTCAAACTGACCAGTCTGGTGAAGTATGGTCAAACTGACCAGTCTGGTGAAGTATGGTTAAACTGACTAGTCTGGTGAAGTATGGTCAAACTGACCAGTCTGGTGAAGTATGGTCAAACTGACTAGTCTGGTGAAGTATGGTCAAACTGACCAGTCTGGTGAAGTATGGTCAAACTGACTAGTCTGGTGAAGTATGGTCAAACTGACCAGTCTGGTGAAGTATGGTCAAACTGACCAGTCTGGTGAAGTATGGTCAAACTGACCAGTCTGGTGAAGTATGGTCAAACTGACCAGTCTGGTGAAGTTATGGTCAAACTGACCAGTCTGGTGAAGTATGGTCAAACTGACCAGTCTGGTGAAGTATGGTCAAACTGACCAGTCTGGTGAAGTATGGTCAAACTGACCAGTCTGGTGAAGTTATGGTCAAACTGACCAGTCTGGTGAAGTATGGTCAAACTGACCAGTCTGGTGAAGTATGGTCAAACTGACCAGTCTGGTGAAGTATGGTCAAACTGACCAGTCTGGTGAAGTATGGTCAAACTGACCAGTCTGGTGAAGTTATGGTCAAACTGACCAGTCTGGTGAAGTATGGTCAAACTGACCAGTCTGGTGAAGTATGGTCAAACTGACCAGTCTGGTGAAGTTATGGTCAAACTGACCAGTCTGGTGAAGTATGGTCAAACTGACCAGTCTGGTGAAGTATGGTCAAACTGACCAGTCTGGTGAAGTATGGTCAAACTATGCTCGTGATCGACACGGCGTAACATTGGGGTGAGACCTTCTTCACAGCAGCACGCGATTAACAAAGGTCTATAAATGAAAGCTCTAATTGGCGTGGCCTTTGATACGAGGAAAAAGCAGGGCAACGGGAGGTTGTGATCACCCTCCTCGCATTCAAATATCGGGTATATTGTGATGCATACAATAGATTGCCAAGAGAGACGGAGAGGTGACAATCATTGATTTGTTTTATCAATAGGCAGGGTTTCGTGATCGATGCTCTGCTACACGCCTGTTGGGAGGATGTCCCCCAAAGGGAGTTTCCTATTTTGACTTCCCCTGGCAGAGCTGCTGCTGCTTGATTTCTAACCAATAATTGATCATATTTGCGTCTGACTCTTGGTTAGCATCGGAGCTGCCAATACGAGTGATTGGAGCTGCCAATTACACAAAGCCACGCTCAACGAAGCCAGTCCACTCGGTGAGCCTCCATTTGTTTTGCTGTGAGAATTCACCGTTGGGGGTTGGATGCTCGTTTATCCGTGCGCGTGCAGTCCGTGCTGCCGCAAAACTTAAAAAAACCGGCATAGATTCCGGAGCCAGGCCCCTAAGAGATGTGCACAGTTTATGGCGTGGGACACAAAGGCGGCCGGGCGTGGTGTTGGCCACCCACCCCCTTGTGTGCCGTGCCGGCCTTCATAGGTGCTCGCTAATAGCAAGCACTTGCCTCAATAGTCTCTTAAGGCTATACGGGTGATCTTTGTCTTTGTGTGTGTGCTCGGGCCAACATGCGGAACGGAGTACACAGGTCAAATCCGGAGCCAGCAGACAGGCGGGAAACATGGAATTCTCTCTCCGCCTTTTACAAGCACCCTGACTGCTTGGCAAAGCAGTGATGTCACTCAACACAGGAGTTGCCAGATGGTGCCACTCCCACTTCGTAGGGTGTCAGCAGTGCATCATAGATTAATAGTGGTTCGTGCAGTGGTTTGTAAAACAAATATATACAGTTTTGGAACACATTTAATTGCCACTCTTGTTAAAAAAAAAACTATGCAGATTTAGGAAATGTTATTTGTATGCTGGGTGTGAAGTTTCGAAGTCATTGGTGTTGGACTTTTATAGTTTTTGTGAGAACGTGTAAATTATTATTATTATTATCAGACGGACAAACGCACAGCATAGCGGTAAAGCGGCTCTATGCTCCTTAAACAAATAAACTTGTCTTCTTGGTTCTTTCGGTAAAGTCACGTAGAAGGGAAGTAATAAAATAATAAAAATAAAACATAATAAAATTATTCTCACGACGTTTCGGCCACAA